GGCATGGTGGCACATGCCTGTAATCCCAGCTACTCAGGAGGCTGAGGCAGGAGAATTGCTTGAAACCAGGAGGCGGAGGTGGCAGCGAGCTGAGATCACGCCACTGCATTCCAGCTTGGGCAACAGAGCGAGACTGCATCTCAAAAACAAACAAATGCAAAAAATCAAAAACTAACTTCTAGAATCCGGACACAGTTTCTATTGGTTAAGATGGAGATGGCTGAATTAGAAAAACTGCCTCAGCATGCCCAGCCTTTACCTTATGAATCAGAATTGCTGAAGAAGAGAGAAGAAGCTGCTTTGGTCCTTCCACTGGCTTCTAACTCAGAGATCCATAATCTGTACTATGCCAGACTTTCTACTCTAGGAGTGCTGCTTTTTCAGGTAGCCAAAAGAGTGATTTAGCGTTCTCTCTCATTTTTCTATAGTAATTCAGAGACTGCAGTTAATAGAAAATACAGGGAAAGGAAAGATGGGAAATAGTAGTAATAAATTGCATCTCTGGAATTCTAGTCCCTCAAATTAAGGAGATTAAGATAGTGATGGAAACAGGAAGAACTCTAGCAGTTGTGAGTGCTGGGAATTGAAGTTTTTACTTTTATCCTTTGGTTCACTGAACTAAATAGTAGGGTTGGAGAATTCATTCCTGAAGATACCATGTATGAATTTAATTTAGACACGGGGAATTGCTTCATAAGCAAGGCAACTTAACCTGCCCTTTAGTTGAAGCTATAGGAAATTGACATGGTGGATGAGATGCAAGTAATGGCATATCTTGGATGTGACCATGAAATAAGAGGCTGAATTGGGTGGAGGGTTAGATTATTAGAAGAGAGGAAATTGGCCCAGCGCAGTGGCTCACGCCTATAATCCCTATAACGCCTATAACACTTTGGGAGGCTGAGGCGGGCAGATCACTTGAGGTAAGGAATTCGAGGCCAGCCTGGCCAATGGTGAAACCCCATCTCTACTAAAAATACAAAAATTAGCCAGGTGAGGTGGCATGTGCCTGTAATCCCGGCTACTCAGGAGGCTGAGGCACGAAAATCCCTTGAACCTGGGAGGTGGAGGTTGCAGTGAGCTGGGATTGTGCCACTGCACTCCATTCTGGGTGACAGAGTGAGATTCTGTCTCAACAAACAAACCAACAACAACAACAACAACAAAAAAACCCAGGATATTCTTCAATTGAGAAGCCAAAGTATTGGAAAGATTTTCTACAAAATTAACAGCCATGAAGAACAAGGAGGAAAGGTGTGGGATTCTAGGCATAAAGAGTAGTGTAATCAGAATTGTAAGTGTGAAATGTATTTGGGAACCTCAAGAAGCTAAGTATGGCTTGAGTATAAAGTGAAAATGGTGCACAAGTAGGCAGTGGTAGTATAGAGAATGCCACAGAAACTCTTGGTTGCCTACCCTCCCATATACCCTCACTTCTTGTTAAGGAAGGCCCTCTCAGTAGGTCTCACCTCAGTCCCAAGGGATAAGTTATGATTAAACCAGTCACTTTAACTCCATTTTTCTTTTCCAAGTCATTAGTCTGTGGGTAGCCATATGACCTAGCTCTGGCCAGTAAACTGGAAGAGAAAGTCTGTTGGAGAATTCTGGAAAGATTGTCTTTCCTGGTTAAGACTGTGTATGTGAGTTAATCTCTGGAAAGAAGGCCCCCCTTTTTTTTTTTTTTTTTGGAAAGAAGGCCCCCCTTTTTTTTTTCCTCCATTCCTTTTCTTCCTGCTTGGTACACTGTAGAGTGTGATGTTCAAAGCAATGATAGTCAACTTGTAATCATGACTAAAAGTTTGTTCACTGAGAATAACAAAGAGCAAAGAAAGGGTCTGGATCCTTGGCCTTGCACGGTGGCTCATACCTGTAATCCCAGCACTTTGGGAGGCCCCAGCGGGTAGATCACTTGAGGCCAAGAGTTTGAGACCAGAGTGGCCACCATGGTGAAACCCCATCTCTACTTAAAAACACAAAAATTAGCCTGGTGCAATGGCATATGCCACCTAGTAGTCCCAGCTGCTAGGGAGTCTGAGGCTTGAGAATCACTTGAGCCTGGGAGGTAGAGGTTGCAGTGAGCTGAGATCATGTCACTGCACTCCACCCTGGGCGACAGCAAGACTGTGTCTCAGAAAAAAAAAGGGGGGGCCTGGATCCTTGAGACATTGTTGGCCTTTTGGCCAGACTAAGAATTACACTCATTTTCAGAGTTTATATGACGTGAGATAAATGTTTTTCTTGTTTTAGCTACTGTTATCAGGTATTCTGTAACTTGAAGCTGATTGCATTCTGAGAGACTGGTAAATGATGGAGGACTTGGTAAATACTTTTACCAATTTTTCATTTGTGGTAAACTGCCAAATGTCAACCTTAAAATGAAAACATGCTGGCTGCAGTGGCTCACGCCTGTAATTCCAGCATTTTGAGAGACTGAGGCAGGTGGATCGCCTGAGGTCAGAAGTTCGAGACCAGTCTGGCAAACATGGTAAAACCCTGTCTCTACTAAAAAAATACAAAAATTAGCTGGGCATGGTGGTGGGCCCCTGTAATCCCAGCTACTCGGGAGGCAGAGGCAGGAGAACCGTTGGAACCCGGGAGGCAGAGGTGGCAGTGAGCTGAGATCACGCAACTGCACTCCAGTCTCGATGACAGCAAGACTCCATGTCAAAACAAAAACAAATTAACTTGTATTTTTAAATTCATTGAACCACTATTCAAATACTAAGTTTAATCAGGTAATGGTTTTTATTTTGGAATATTTATACTGAATTTCTCTATATATAATCCCAAAGAAAGACTAATAATCACTATTAGTTGTGTTTAGCCAAAACAAAAATTAAAAAAAAAACCCCAAACATACAAGAGACCCCCAAAATGTATAAAATATTTTGTATTTATTTATTTTTTCTTTTTCTTTTTAAAATAGAGATGAGGTCTTACCCTGTTACCCAGGCTGGAGTTGCAGTGGTGCAATCATAGCTCAGTGCAGCCTCAAACTCCTGGGCTCAAGCCATCTTCCTGCCTCAGCCTCCCAAGTAGCTAGGACTACAGGCATGCACAACCATGTCCAGCTTTTATAAAATATTTTACATGAAATATCCTGAAAACACTTTGTAAATACAGGATGCTTCAATAAGTATTTGAAACTAAGATTATTGGTCAAGAGTACACCAGGCATTTGGGGGGTTTTTCTTTTTTTTTGTTGTTGAGACAGGGTCTCACTCTATTGCCTTCAGGCTGGAGTGCAGTGGCGTGATTGTGGGTCACTGCAGCCTTGACTTCCCACGCTCAAGTGATTCTTCCACCTCCGCCTCCCAAGTAGTTGGGACTATAGGTGCACACTACCACACCCAGCTAATTTTTTTTTTTTTTTTGTAGAGACAGGATTTCACCATGTTGCTCAGGTGGATCTGCAACTCATGGGCTCAAGTGATCCACCTGCCTCAGCATCCCAAAGTGCTGAGATTACAGGTGCGAGCCACCACGCCTGGCCTGAGGATTTTTCACTAACCAAAATTAAGATGAAGCCCTATACAGGATGACATACAGTCATATGAGAGCAACATATATAAAAATAGCAAACGTTCATTGAACATTCAATGTTCATGTATTCATTGAACATCCTTTGTTCTCAAGCCTGAAGTTTTCACAAACACTGTTCTAAGCACCTTACATTTATGAAGTCATTTAATCGTATGCGATTGTTAACTATTGTCCCTCCTCCGCCCCCCCCCTTTTATTTTTGAGATGAAGTCTTGCTTTGTCATCCAGGCTGGAGTGCAGTGGCACCATCTCAGCTCACTGCAACCTCCTCTTCCCAAGTTCAAGCGATTCTTCTGGAATTACAGGCATGCGCCACCATGCCCGACTATTTTTGTATTTTTGGTAGAGACAAGGTTTCACCATATTGGCCAGGGTGGTCCCTGACCTCAAGTGATCCACCCGCCTTGGACTCCCAAAGCTCTGTGATTACAGGCATGAGCCACTGTGCCTGGCCTATTGTCTCCATTTTTATGAACTGGAAGATGGAGGTACAAGGAAAAGTACATTGTCCATTGCCATGCAACTTGAGTGGAAAAGCCAGGAACATGAATTCTGGCATTCTGGCTGCAAGGCCTATGCACATTATAGCTATTCTGTTCTGTCTTAAGGAAGTTGGGCCCATACCCCTCTTGAGTATTCCTACTTGAGGGAGGGGAGAAGCTTTCCTTGCTTTCATAGGTGCTTACTAATGGGCAAGAGTCTAGAACCACAGTAGACAAAAGCAGTGGTATGAACATGTGTGTCCATTTTTTTGTGCAGGAATATGAAGCTGGTTGCTTTCCAGTCCAGAGGGAATCTGCACCCCTCTTGGGAAATCCTAGCCATATACTCCATTTTGCCATATCAGTGTTATCTGTGATTATTCCCTAGGGGCTTATAGGATATAGAGAAGCAACTTTTGTATCCCTTGAAAGAAACCCTAGAAAATAGTACTTTTTCGGTGTCCTTACGTTTCAAGTGATCTTTCAGTTCTAGGCAGCTCCCTGAATGGTTCACCCTCATTGTAGGTCTGTT